TCCCCTGTCCACTTTCTCCATGACATTGGGCTGTTCTGGCCCAGTATTATTTACTCTGACTGAAAATGGCTCCCCAGGGTCTCAGGTAGTCTTTCACATCATCTATGATCTGACTTTACTGGGACTGTATCTGGAATTGTCTCCATGCCATGCATACAGCTAACCATTGAACTACAGTCCTCCTCCTAAAATGAACTTATTACATATTTAAGCCTGCTTAAGCCCAGTGAAGTTGATGGTTTGGTACTTACTATAGCCTTTATCTTCAAATACTAAGTATGGACACAATCCTTCCCAGTGTAAGTTCAATAGGTGTATGTGCATTAAGGGATCCATATGGGGTCCTAGAAAGACCTGATTTCCTCCTGCTTCCATGGTTCATGCATGTAGGTTCATACACAGACAGTATACCAGGGCAGTCAAGGAAAAGACTGTATGTCTCATTTAATCTGACTAATAACCACCCTCACTAAATGAAAAAAGTCTGATCAAGGAAGAGGGGGTCTGTGTAGAAAATTGCAGATGCAATTACATATCTGTCATCTTTCCTCCATGGGTGTATTGGTGTGGATGCGCCAGAACTCTGTTAGGCCCTGCTGCAAGTCCCCAATGAGAAGGATCATGTCTCAGGTTTGCAAATCATTTGGTAATCATCTAATAGATGCTGGAGAAATTGTCTAAACCATGCTTGGATTTAAAGGGACTTTAAAGATTAAGACCCCACCTCCAGAATAGTACTAAAGCGTTCCATATCAGGAATAACTATGCATTTCCTAGTTAAAGGAGAATAAAGCATACAATAACTTCCATGCCACAACTTTGCACAGACAAACTACCTTAGCCTAATGATTCCTTATTGGTGTAGACATCTAGCTTCAGCTCCCACATAGGACTCTCCATCCCCTTAAGCAGAGATGGAGTCTCTGTGTGCAAGAAGAAAAAAAAAGAGAGAAAAGAAAACCATCAACATGAATGGATGTTTCATTCTCCTGGCACACATTAGAATACATACAGGGATAGATCAAGGCTGACACATCATGAATTTAAACCATCATGCTCCAGCCCATCATGATGGATAGACTACAATCTCCTAAACTCACAAGTTACTCCAATTTATAAAATATCTTCTGGCAAATTCCCATTTTCAGAGGATTTTGACAACAGTTATTAACTAGTTTATATATGCCAGGAAACATTGATATATCTATTCAATTCATTTCTCAATAAGTGCAAAATCTTAGTTTTCAGCTGAATAATTAATGTACCTGTTTGCATGGAAGAAGAAAAAGTTTTACATATATTTAAGGTCCACTTATATAATTTTGTGGAAAAGTGCATGTTATTTGCATTTACACCTTGTAATTATAGAATAGTCTTCCCATCATGAAACAAATATACATAACACCCATCAAAATGCAGCTTCTAGAACTTGGAAATTATATTTTAAGAGTATTAAGAAAAGCTACACTATAAAACAATGGGAAAAATCAAACAAATCCAAATCCATTGAAAAACAAAATTCAAAAGATTTTTAACGAAGATAAATTACTAAAAAAATTCAATCCTTTCCTTGATTCTTCTTATAAAAATAGATTTAATAAATGTTTATACTGTGATTTTTCTATCCTTTTCTATTGAAAATATATATTTTCATAGAGTGATAAATCTAGAAACAAATCATTTATATACTGTAACTAGATTAATGAATACACAACATGCATGTTTTCAGCCATATGAATGGGAAAGTACCGATGCGTACATTTGAGGAAGGGCTTGTCCATATAATTTCAATAAAAGTGATTTTCAGACACCCATTGGATAAATAATGAATTTCTGGTCCCTCATTATTATATATGCATTTCAGTCTTAAACACATTTATGCGAAAGGAAGGGTATGCCATGCCAACCTGTGGCTTCAGATGTTCCCAAAGGGTAGTTGTAAATTTAATTGGGTAGCATGACTGCTACTGATGCTGGGGAGATGGGGAGGCTGTTATTGCATGGCACACCTGTACATGTTCTCTTTCAATGGCAAACACCATCCACTAAACACAGCAATGGCTATGTATTTGACAGAGTGCCATTTCAGATATATCCAAAAATAAATTGCAACAAAAACCATTATAGAAGTGTCTGTTATGTCAACAGGATCCAATTAACTATACAATATTATCTACTCATGTCAAAAACAACTTTTTGTTTTGCAAAGGGGCTTATGCCTTTGTAAAGGTTTTCCTGGGAGTTGGTTTTGGCACATCACTAATGTTCAGGAGATTTCCCTAAATACCAACTTAATGACCATTTTAAAACCAGTCCTGCAGAGGCTGTTCTGCCTAGCCAGTTGTGCAGCTACTTCGTCCAAGGATGTTCACCATGCCATTACAAACCAAAAGAATAGTGGAGCTGTGAAGTGAGCAGCTGTATATTAGTAATGCACAGCAAAGAGACACCTCTCTGTAGTTCATTTTAAAAATAGCCAGTGAATGTTGTCTTGCTTGTATAAACTAATTCACAGTCCCTGCATTCATCAGAGCTTCAAATGATTGCTGGCAAAGCTATTAGACTGGTGCAACGATGGGCACCAAAGCTATGGTCAGCAAGTGGAAAAGTCAAACAGAAAAGGAAAACTTTTATACATAAATATTTTTTTAAATTTACTATTTGTATGGCTGCTTTTCCAAAACAGATAAAGAGCAAATCCCCCATATATGTTAAAATGAGAAATTGTCATAAATAATTAAAACAAATGTTTCTTCTAGTTCTGCAAACAAGACCATACACACTGTATGGGAGAGCTGGTATGCATGAATTTAGCTTAAGTTTGTTCGATTGAATTCCTAACTTTCAAAAGGATACTCAGAATTTTAGCATCTATTCAACGCATGTACAGTAAGAAACAGTCTCATTAATTCCTTTCCATATCTGTAGAAAAACTTATTTTGTTTTCCTGAGGGGCTTAGGGTACAGTTCCATGCATGTGGACACATTACAAAAAAAATTGCTACCTGTGTCATCCTAGAAACTGTACAATTTTCACCCTGTCTAAACAGGGGGAAGTAGGATTGCACCCCTATGGAGTTAAAGGGAAAAAAGGAAGATGCTGATTTATAGCCATGTCACACTAATTTCAGTTATACAAAGAAAAAAATAGCCATTACATGGCAAGCCAAGAAGAACTGTTTACTGAAACTCAACAAAAGGACCAGTCTTCAAGGATTGTTTTCCTGTCTGTGCACAATGCACAAACACACACATTTTACTCTCTTTTAAACTGTAAACTATAAGCTGCAATTGTGAAACTCTTGCATGGTTGATGCATCGTATTTCCTTTGCTTATGTGCTGCCTATATCCATTGTTTAAGTGTAAATTAGAAATGCTTGCTATATTGTTGCTTCAGATAACTGTATAAATGCATTGTTCTGTCTCTATATGTGACATATGTGTCATTGTGCATGGCTTTCAGAGCATGCAGATGTGCTCATATCTGGTACACAACAGCATATATTTCATACAGAGTTTAGAAGATGTAGCCCAAGAGTTTTCTAGAGGTACAGATACTTTAGAGCATTTTCTTTCAGGAATATTATATGGCTATTAAAGACAAGGAGGACTAACTTATCTAAGTATCATTTAAGATGGCTGTTAATGAGCACCACCTTATAAATTACTCCAAACCCTGTATAACAACTTGTTTTACCTCTCAAATAAAAGAAATGTCTTGGATCTTGTACTTTGCCTCTCACTAGCTGGGTCACATTTTTTCAAGTTGTACTGATTAATTTGTGGCTGTTGCTCATTAATGAATAATAGCATGACCCTGCTTGTAAGTACTACAATCACTAGATTGGTCTCCCACTTGTATTGATTGGAAAACTGAAACTGAAAATTTGTATTGACAAAGCAGGGAAAAATGAAAACATCCCTGAGACAGAAGAAATATTGGCGTAAAACCAACATTTTCTGTCAAATTATATATAGAAAAATGCTTTGTATTTTTTTCAAATAAAGCAAATTGGCTGGCTATAAAAGGTTAAGTATACCACTTTAAAACTGCTGCAATTAAAGAATGTCCATATGCACATATAGCAACTGCTTATGGTTTTCTAGTATAGATATAAAGTCTGCATAACTGCAGAATAGCTGACACCTATTATGTGTTGCATGTTATTTAATATTTTGGGGGATAGTTCTGAGGCATACAGTAGATAAAAAAATTAGTAAAGTAAAACTAGCCAATATTTAAATTAACTTTGCAAGTTAGTCTAAACTTTATAGTGTAAAGAGACCTGATTGCCAAACAAAAGCATTTGGCATCACAAAAATGTAATCACCTAACCTCCTTTCCAGTCATTAACTTCCACTGATCCACACGCACAAGCATTCACAATAAGTTGTCATGGCGCATTTTGGCCAATAATTCTTACAATTTCCATACCAGCATACCAACAATTCAACCATTACAAAGTAAACATAACAATACAACCCATACATTTGGGATTTAGTTAACAATAAAATAAATATTTATGTCAAATTCTTTTTTTTCTTGATTGCACATTTCATATTGGAAGCTAAATGGTCACAAAACATGAAAAGAAATGTCAATCACATTTTTTTGTTTTTTTGTAATCTACCATCAAACTCTAATACATCAAGAAGGTAGCCACTTCTAGCCACAAAGGCCTTGACTTTCAAAGAAGTCTATTAAATTTTTCTGGATACTTTTACTGTTATACAAAGTTATACATCCATGCCAAGCTATTCACCATTGTGTAGCAACAGTCTTGCAGTGTGGGCCAGGATGTTATTGGCAGTCAATAGAGGAAGAAACTATGCAGTGTGATTAAAAATTCCAAGTTGGAAGTAGTAACATAAACATTATGTGTTTACAGGATGAATAGGAAGTTGCAGTTCTTCAAGCTGGAAAGAGCAGAAAGAAGGAATGAGAGTATCTTCCATTTTAGAAATGCTGAGGCACAAAACACAGTCGCTTCTAAAACTTTCATACATGAAATCCTTTCTCCTGTATGTGCATCATGTGCAATCGCAAAGTCTGTAAACTGCTCACTATTCGTCTCTGGTGTCCAATAAGTACAACACCAATTCTTCTAATGTCACTGTAAGACAAAGATAAGTTTAAGAATTGCTGTGGCAGAACCAGGTAGAGAAAAAAAATCGCATTCAGATTTTTTTCACAATGCTCAGCCTTAGCCTCACAAGCCAGCCAATATTTTGTGCGATGCCTGAAAGTATTAATAATAGAGGTGCATCTCTAAGCCTTGGAATCAACAGGTGAGATCTCCCCTGGCATTCTGGGGCTTCACCAAGTCCTCCTCCCTCATTTCATTTGTTTCATTTATTACATCACTACACTACCAAGTAGCTAAAGTTCAGGTAGGGCCTACTCTGTATCTTCTTCACAGGAGTTCAGTGGGGATGGGCAGGTGTACAGAGGCTACAGTGGGGAAGGAAATTTCTAGTGGCTTTCGATTTACCAGCAGATGTCCAGTGATGAATCCAGTCCTAAATTAAACTTGCCCCCCCAACGCCCCCCCCCCCAGCTACATGAACAGCCACATGATTTGACTAAGTGTGTCAAAGCATTTCTTTATTAACAGTGTCTGCAATTCTAGGTTGCTTAAAAACTGGACAGACCACTGAGTGTGTAGACAGATGTCTAGGCTAGATACCTAATTTAGCATGTGTTTCATTGCTTGTATTAAGTTAATTGCTCCAAACAGTTCTATGTGAACTGAGTAGCTGCTGCAACTGCACCTCAGTTTTACTGGCTGAAAAATGACAGCTTATGCCTTCTTCTTCTTGCACCAAGAGCCTGAAGGCATCTTTGAAGTGAAATCTTAAGTGAAATATGACTTCAAAGGAGTGGAGCCTTATCTAACCAGTATGTAATATAAACAACCTACTACATTTCAGTACATTATAAGCAAGCCATATGGAGCTCACAGGTACCACAGCACCCCCACACACCTCCCTTGACAAAATTACCATGGACAGAGCACCAGTCTCCGGCTGTGCTGTCCCATCTTGACCCACCCCATCCTCCTGTATTATTTCTGCTACACTGCCCATGAGCTCATTCTTCTGAAAAGAACAGAAGAGGGTGCAGCAGCTGGGGCAGATATATTGCTTTCCAACCCCTGCTCAAAGTTCACTTCAAATGTGCGAAAGAAAACAAAAGAAAAGAGAAGAAAGTGAGAGCTTGAGAGAGAGAGACAGAGAGAAGGTATGTGCATGTGTGTACGGATGAGGGAGAGTGAAAACTGTGGGTTAAATGCAGTGGTTTTGTGATTTGGAGCTTGGAACACCCTTTGCCTTTTATTCAGTTACTTATCTTTTAGCTTCACCAGTTTGCTTTTCTGTGACTAGCCATGCTCAGCCAGCAGACCGGTGTGAATGGACATCCCACCAGGGTAGCAATTTTGTAATGGTTGTCTAGACAGTTTCTCCAAATTCCATGTATGCCCACTGGGCCAACAAGGTTAGGCAATCTATTGTAAATAGTTTACTTACTCAATATTCATTCTCGAAACAAGATCCATACTTGTATACCCTGCTGCCATGAAGTTTGTTTTGTATTGGCCCATTTTTATTGAGTCCAGCCAATCACTGACTGATACATAGAATGGGTATTCAGGAACTTCACCAGGCGAATCTGGCATTCTGCAGAAACAAATGCAAATGCAAGGTACATCAACACAGGGAGAAGAATTTATTCCAGCATATAGTTTCACACATTATTTGGAAGTTATACTAACCAGATAACCCAATCAGTGTAATTTCTAAATTTTCTAGAATAAGGGTGAAGCTTTTTTATGTAATTAATAAAGAACTGGACTACTCCAGTTCTTTGTAACACCTTGTAACAACTATGCTTTATTATATGCCAAATTCTCACCATTACTATTATGGGCCAAATACTTGCCACTATTACAAAATATTCCATTACAGTTTTCTAAAAATAACAGTTACTATAGCAACTAGGGCATAAAGATACTTGAATAATTTGATATTTGATATTAATTTACCTGATCGTCAGAGCCTAGACAAATGTGTGGATCAGAACTTAGTAGTTCACCAATGTTAACACATTCCAAATGTTCTGACATAATTTTCAATTCCAAAATTTTAAATGTTCATTTAAATATATGCTTTCATGAACATTCAAAAAATCAAATTCATGTGGGAAGGGGGTACAATACACTGGAGAGGAAATATGCAAAAGTGACATAGACTCAAAATAGTCTGACTGTCCATCTCTTATAGAGGTAATGAAAAGAAGATTATTTTGGATATTGCTGGCTTGCTATTTGTCTCATTGTCTCCAAGTATTGCATTTTTATACACACAGATAGATGTACACCTGTGTAAGCAGCTAGAATCCAAATTTGGTACCAGATTCTAGATATCACATAAAGGATATAGTTTGTCATTGAACAAATGAATAATTAAATGGCAAGCATTGCTGCAGCTGTTTTAGTCAAATTCTCCATAGTAAGGACATTTCTGATGGCAATTTCTATAATTATAGTTGCATATTCTCCAGTTGCTGTAATTAAAGAAATTGGTTTCAGGTAGTTGTAGCTGTATCCATGGTGACAGTACATTTTACATTTTGTCCTCTATGTGAATATGACTTCAGAAACATCAGAAGGGGTTTTTTTTTTATCATTGGACCAGGCTTTATGCATCAAATGCAAGGGAAAAGGGAATGAATGTCCAGCATGAAGTGGGCAAAAGTTAGAAAAATTGTCCACTTTCATAAAGAAAACCTCATTTCATGCAATTTAGCTATTAACGGTGCTGCCTAGTTGCTGTCATGCAGGGAAAAAAACACACTGAGGTGGATCTTACACAAGTACATCCTCCACTAGAGTATGAAGAGAGCTGGGGTTGCGTATCAATTTGTCCAGGAAGTTGACAATGTCACTGAACTTCGGGCGGTGGTTTCTCTCCTTTTGCCAACAATGAAGCATTAGCTGGTGGAGAGAAGCTGGGCAGCCCATAGGAGCTGGAAGCCTGTAACCTTCTTCTATAGATAGAATGACCTAAACATGATAGGAAGAAGAAACAACACAAGGGAATGGTGCTTTACATTTCAATATACCAAGCAAAGAAAAGAAGGCAGAGTCAGTGGCTCTGATCTCAAATCTGACATGGATGCACAAGAACACATACTTACTAAATGGTTCTTACTATTGCCAAATGTTAATCATTAATATGAAAACCTATGTATGATTTGTTCTGGGGTTATAACTGTAGGTTTTTTTCTGCCTCCATAAGTTAAAATTCTGGGTTCTCACATCCAAGAGAACAGCCCATAGATGGATCATCCCTTGCTGTTTTGCACACCATAAGTAGATGAGTAGTTGCAAGCCAGAAGAGTTGCTTACTCCACTGTACTTCCAAAAACCTATGGGTAATAAACTGTAGGTTGTTTTATTGTGCAACCTTGGTCAAAATGTCAGGCAATTTGAGATCTGCTTCCAATATGTTTTATTTTTTTGCTGGATGCCTTTACATATTCTCACATAAATGAGCTACATTCCTTTTTGAGTGTTTTGTGAATTTTTGCTTGAACAATAATATATAATGGCCACAGAAGTAGATGTGCTCAATAGTGGGTTGTTCAAGGATTATTCTAAGCAGACTAATGGCTTTACACAGAATGTTTGTTTGATAAGCAATGGAGCAAGCAAAAGCTGGAAATACTTACATCCTGGTTGGACATCTCCCAGTATGGTCTTTCTCCATATGACATCACTTCCCACATGACAATCCCATAACTCCATGTATCGCTTGCTGAAGAGAACTTCCTGTAGGCTATAGCTTCGGGAGCTGTCCATCTTATGGGAATTTTCCCCCCCTGGAAAACATGTTGAAACATTCTCAATAAATAGCTCTGAAATCTAGCATTCTTTGGTCCACTGAATAGTCTAAAGACATACCTAAAATACATGCTGTAAAAGGATAATATATTTAGCCTCAGACAAAAATGCCAACTTTCCTCAGTGCCTGTATTTACTAGCATGATTCAGATGGAATAGTATTGTAATTGAGAACCCTAAGCATTTTAGTTATTTGAGACATTTTCTCTTCTTTAATATTAATTAGATGATTCTTGTGATATCTTTAATAACTTACACATCTGAAAACTCATCGACCTAATTAAAAGAGTACTAAAGAAAGCACACAAAGCAGATTGAATGGGGTGAAAATATTACCTTTAATATTTATCATTAAGACATTGTTTACCATCATTATTATTATTTAATTGTATTTCTTTGATAGGTTATAATCAAGATATGGTTCCTCAGAGTACCTCTCTGTCCCTAAAGTATTGACAATATATATGGTACAAGTGGGTTACTTTGCAGTGAGTTAACTGTATTAATCTGTTGCAATAAAAAAGAAAAAAATGTAGCATTTTAAAGATTATGTGTGGCATAAGATTTCTTAGGGCCAAAGTCCATACAACTGACACAGTGAGCTTTGGCCCATGAAAGTTGTGTTGTCATAACTTGACTGGCCTTGTCATGTACCGCAGGACTATTTGCTAAATGTGGTCACTATGTGTAAATTAATTTGGGATTTTGCAAGTTACTTTAAATTTTATTTGTGTATTATCCCAATGTTTATAAATGTTTGCAGTTTACCTTATGACCATTGCAATTCAGGAAACATAAGTAAAACTGGAAGGAAAATATGGCTGGCCATATGGTCTCCAAGTGTGCTATTAAACCTTTTGCTGGAGCGTGGCAGTGTTGAAGCTCTCTGACTTCTGTGAGGCAAAACAGTTGCTATATTATACAAAAACAGGACTTTTATAAGCACAATATAGGGGAAGGCATACATTAAGATCCTTAGTAGTAACACAGAAGGCAGGGTCTGGGGGTATTTTAACCACACTTTATTTACTATCTTCTGTTACTACATTTTTAAAAATCCTGAATTTCTACAAGTTTTGACTATCCAAGATACAATTTATGTGTCAGCTACTGTCTTGTGGCATTTAAAAGACTAAGAGATTTGTGATGGACTGAAGTCCACATCATCAGATGTAGAGCAGCCTTTCCCATCTCCTTGTCTTGTGGAATTACTATCCATAGCATTTCTCAGCCAGCAAAGACTTGTCAGGGGATGTTGAGAACTGTAGTTCAACATATGTGGAAGGCATCAGGTTAAAGATGGCTTCTGTAGATAGCAGGCCTAGGAACCATGACATGTCAGAGGTTCAGTCTGTGACATGAACTTCCGACATAAAGTTCAAGTACATGTTTGCTTCCAGGAATGATGTGTGTGTAGGGTGAGGTGGAAGGGAAGAAGATGTGATTTCTTAAATCATTCAGGGACTCATGTATCCTAGTTTTGAGATCAGTTCTGTCTTTAACATCCCCATTCATCAAATTAAAAATTGAACTGGACTAGGATCTAAGGGATTCTTAAATTGGATTAACTGATAGTTTAAGCCAGTTCATAAGTGGTGAAACTTTTTTTTAACATTGTAGAGACTATACACTATCACCAGCATATTAGTATCCAAGTAATGTGGGCAGTAAAGATGTAAAGTACAGCTGTGTTTCAAGAGCCTTATTCCTCTCCTAAGCATGGATTCTTTCCATCCCTCAGTGTTGTTGCTTTATGTATGGCTTGCTGACCCTGTTTAAGGGCATATTTAAACTCCTTTACAGAATCTTAGAAAGTAATCTACTTGATTTTTTTGATAAATGTGGGCCTAGACTGAGTATCATGTGCCTGATTTATGTCCCTAAAATGATAATACCAAAATGGTGTCAACAACATTGACAGAGGTAAATCTTTTCAGTTGATGAACCTATTTGTATGACATGCTAAGCCACCTTAGCATGTAAATAACCATGCTGATTGTTCACAGAACAAGCTGCAAGTATGCCAGGTGAACTATCAGGCTTATATTGACATGTTTTCCTCCTGTTTCCTGCTCAGTCCTCTAGCCAACTCTAGCACAGAACTCATTTTCTGTCCTTGTCCTGGCCTTCTCTACTCTTCAGTGCCTCAAAAATGTGCAGTAGGAACCATTATTATTATTTGTCTTTCACAAATGTATGAATGTGCACTTACTATCTGATTGGCATAGTTTTCCCTAGTCAATTGCTATGTACATTTTATCTGTGAAAGAGAGCTGTGACGGGGAGTAGGTAGCACACAGAGGATCTGACAAGATACGGTTGAGTATCAGCTAGGTTGAGTATCAGCTAAGTTGCATACAGTTGCAAAGGATTGGCAAAAAATAACAGTAAGAGAAAAGGGGGACCCAATAGCACAAGTCAGAAGCACTGGAAATGGGGAGTGGGGTGGAAAAACTTTTGGTGTACTTCTTTGGTCCCCCACCCCCATGTATTATTATAGTACACATCCCTCTCTTTCCCATTGCTCCTTTTGGAGCATGTACCACTTAGCTTCCTGTAGCTCCTGCCTAGTGGCTCCATATCATTGAAACCTTTGGTAAAATTCATCTGTCAGGTTAGAACAACCCAACTACCCATTGGAGTCAAGAATAACCCTATAATAATCCATGGATCCTCTGTGGGGCTTTTTCATGAAAAGCTACACAGCAGAAAATGCTCAAGATTTGGATGATTCAACAACACACCATGGCTGCATGCCCATGGTGGGTTGTTGCATCATTGTAAAAAAAAGACAATCTCTTACGCTACTACTAATGGCTAAAGAAAATTACATTGTTAATATTCATATGGACAATGCTATTCTTGCATAAGCCATTATATTCCCAGGAATGGGAAGTTTCATTACTTGATTACTTTTGTAAAGTATATTTTTATGCAAAAAAATCTTTTTACACTTTCTGTGGCACTAACTGAAAGGCTGAAACTAAGCAATATCTGTTCATGAATAATAGAAGGACACATTTGCTTTTGAACAGCTAAAATAATATTTCCAGTGCTCGATGAAAGTAATAAAAAACTAGCCCTGCTGGGCATCTTTTTCTGATAATGTTGTTATAATGAAAATATTTATTAAACTTCATTGTATACAATGTGCTCCATTACCAAATTAAAATAAATATTCATTGTTATCAATATGTAATTTCACTCCAGATCAATCAAAACTGTCACTGTCCTCATCAAGTTAGATTTCACATGAGCAAGCATTTTTTCTCATTTGAAACCATGCTGCATTTTTACCTCATTTCTTAAATTTATAATGAGCTTGGGGAAATGCTAATTTTACTTTCCTGTTATAACACAGCAGTAATGGAACTATTCAAATGCTTATGATGTAGCCTGTTTTCATCTGCTGCCTCCTGAATTATTCTTGATTGCAGCTCAGAGACAAGATACCACTGTGTGCTGCCACAACCCCTTTATCTAATGAGTAAGTGTATGCCAGATCACTCAAGCCACATGACATATTGTTTTAGCAGGACCATGTACTGAAATGAAACTTTTAAAACAAAATCTCATAGATCTTGCAGGTTGGAAAAATTACTAAAGTAGTGATGGAAAGAAACCAGAAATGCATAATTTTCTGATTTGAAGAGTCTGACTCTCTATAATCATTCAGTAGAGGAATCTGGTACTTTCTTCTCCAACAGTATAGCTAAAGCTAATTGTCCTAGTGTTTGCTGTTATTTTTGTTTGCTGGCAATGTGGATACATCCCAAACATCTGTCATATCTGAAAATATTTACAAATTCCAGATACCTGGAAGTGTGGTATGACGATCCCATAATCACTGATACACCTATGGTGTCCTTGTTGTGATGTGTAAAGCAGCTTTCATAGCAGGATCTGCAGCTTCTCTGCCCGCCTGATAAAGGCAGCTTGGACTATCGTATAAATGCAGGCATCTCTCATTTTATTACACTTTGCTTTATTGCACTTCACAGATATTGCATTTCTTACAAATTGAAGGTTTGCCACAAGCAAGTCTATTGGCGCCATTTTTTCTAGAAGCATTTGCTCACTTTGTGTCTCTGTACCAGATTTTGGTAAATCTCACATTATTAGAAACCTTTTCACCATTATTATATTTTTCTTACTCTCCCCCCTCCCCCCCCCCGTTTCTCCTTGGTCTCCCCAAGGTGTTCCAAGGGACACTGGAGGAGCACTGAGGAAAGGCAGCTCATGGTGGAATTGGAAGTTTCTTTTGGGCTCCTGCCCATGCCAAATGGAAAGTGGGATTTTTCATGAGCAATCCTACTCTCCCTCTTGCACCAGTGGGAAGCTGGGAGAATCCAGTGACAGCTGTGCTTTGGCCATTATCACCTAGAGGCCCTTGGCCAGTGCAGCAAGGCTTTTTTTTGCTACTATGGTTAAGGGTCCATTTTACTCCTTGGATTGGTTGTGATTTGGTATGTCATCTGAATTTGGATGACATGCTAAGTCATTGTGGTATTTTTAAAAACTGGAAGAAGCCATGGATAAATGGGGTGGCTTATAAACTAACATGATGTGGCTTATAAAGCACCCCATAGGAACAGTGCCTAGATTCAGAGAACTTGTTAACCTGCCATGGTGAGTTATCATGTCTTCTGAACTCAGTCAACATATGCTGCAGAGGTAAGTAGAGATTTGTCTGATTTACAACAAGAAAGGATAGGCAAAACACAACACAGTTTATTATCCTACTACATGGACCTCTGAAACAGTTTCCAGGACCTTGGGATGCCATAAAATACAAGCATACATTAGATTGAGTTTAGGTAACTTTAGCCCTATAAATCAAGGAAACCAACATTCAGTTTCTCTATATGTATAATTGTTTGATGATCTGATAGCATATTATTCCTTCTTTGATTATGTATCATATGAATTTCAATATCTGGAGTGCCAATAACATGAAACAATGACATATTAGTACAAT